TTATTAAGTTATTGCCACGGGGCCTGCCAGTGTAACTGCTAAACTGCTTTCTGACTGTACACTGTAATGCATGATTGTAGCGGGTTTACTAACGCATTAGTTCTATACTGAAAAAAAACATAAACGCAACATGCAACAATTTCAACGATTTTACTGAGTTACAGTTCATATAAGGAAATCAGTCAATTGAAATAAATTCATTAGGCCCTAATTTCACATGGATTTCACATGACTGGGCAGGGGCACAGCCATGGGTGGGCCTGGGAGGGCCTAGGCCCACCCACTGGGGAGCCTGGCCCAGCCAATCAGAATGAGTTTTTCCCCCACAAAAGGGCTTTATTACAGACAGAAATACTCCTCAGTTTCATCAGCTGTCCGGGTGGCTGGTCTCAGACGATCCCTCAGGTGAAGAAGCCGAATGTGGAGGACCTGGGCTGGCGTGGTTACACATGGTCTGTGGTTTTGAGGCCGGTTGGACATAATGTCAAATTCTCTAAAACGCAGTTGGAGGCGGCTTATGGTAAAGAAACTTTGATGGATATTCCTGCAGTAAGCATGCCAATTGCACGCTCCCTCAAAACTTGAGACATCTGTGTCATTGTGACAAATTGTGACAAAATTGCACATTTTAGAGTGGCCTTTTATTGTCCACAGCACACGGTGCACCTGTGTAAGGATCATGCTGTTTAATCAGCTTCTTGATATGCCACACCTATCAGGTCTTGGCAAAGGAGAAATGCTCACTAACAGGGATGTAAACAAACTTGTGCACAGAATTTGAGAGAAATCAGATTTTTGTGCGTATGGAACATTTCTGGGATCTTTTATTTCAGCTCATGAAACATGGGACCAACACTTTACATGTTGTGTTTATATTTGTGTTCAGTGTAGTTGACTATGACGCGACAACGATGTTAGCGTTAACGATGTGTTAGCGGTCATGATATGAAGGTTTGGTTTCACCTGGTTACAGACAGCTGATGCCCACAAGGAAAGGGAAAAGGTGGGAGGAGGAGAGATAGCGCATAGATAGATGTGAGAAGGAATAGTGATCATGCTGTTTGTACAGTGGGGAAAAAAAGTATTTAGTCAGCCACCAATTGTGCAAGTTCTCCCACTTAAAAAGATGAGAGAGGCCTGTAATTTTCATCATAGGTACACATCAACTATGACAGACAAAATGAGAAAACAATTTCCAGAAAATCACATTGTAGGATTTTTAATGAATTTATTTGCAAATTATGGTGGAAAATAAGTATTTGGTCAATAACAAAAGTTTCTCAATACTTTGTTATATACCCTTTGTTGGCAATGACACAGGTCAAACGTTTTCTGTAAGTCTTCACAAGGTTTTCACACACTGTTGCTGGTATTTTGGCCCATTCCTCCATGCAGATCTCCTCTAGAGCAGTGATGTTTTGGGGCTGTCGCTGGGCAACACGGACTTTCAACTCCCTCCAAAGATTTTCTATGGGGTTGAGATCTGGAGACTGGCTAGGCCACTCCAGGACCTTGAAATGCTTCTTACGAAGCCACTCCTTCGTTGCCCGGGCGGTGTGTTTGGGATCATTGTCATGCTGAAAGACCCAGCCACGTTTCATCTTCAATGCCCTTGCTGATGGAAGGAGGTTTTCACTCAAAATCTCACGATACATGGCCCCATTCATTCTTTCCTTTACACGGATCAGTCGTCCTGGTCCCTTTGCAGAAAAACAGACCCAAAGCATGATGTTTCCACCCCCATGCTTCACAGTAGGTATGGTGTTCTTTGGATGCAACTCAACATTCTTTGTCCTCCAAACACGACGAGTTGAGTTTTTACCAAAAAGTTCTATTTTGGTTTCATCTGACCATATGACATTCTCCCAATCCTCTTCTGGATCATCCAAATGCACTCTGCAAACTTCAGACGGGCCTGGACATGTACTGGCTTAAGCAGGGGGACACGTCTCGCACTGCAGGATTTGAGTCCCTGGCGGCGTAGTGTGTTACTGATGGTAGGCTTTGTTACTTTGGTCCCAGCTCTCTGCAGGTCATTCACTAGGTCCCCCCGTGTGGTTCTGGGATTTTTGCTCACGGTTCTTGTGATAATTTTTACCCCACGGGGTGAGATCTTGCGTGGAGCCCCAGATCGAGGGAGATTATCAGTGGTCTTGTATGTCTTCCATTTCCTAATAATTGCTCCCACAGTTGATTTCTTCAAACCAAGCTGCTTACCTATTGCAGATTCAGTCTTCCCAGCCTGGTGCAGGTCTACAATTTTGTTTCTGGTGTCCTTTGACAGCTCTTTGGTCTTGGCCATAGTGGAGTTTGGAGTGTGACTGTTTGAGGTTGTGGACAGGTGTCTTTTATACTGATAACAAGTTCAAACAGGTGCCATTAATACAGGTAACGAGTGGAGGACAGAGGAGCCTCTTAAAGAAGTTGTTACAGGTCTGTGAGAGCCAGAAATCTTGCTTGTTTGTAGGTGACCAAATACTTATTTTCCACCATAATTTGCTAATAAATTCATTAAAAATCCTACAATGTGATTTTCTGGATAGTTTTTTCTCAATTTGTCTGTCATAGTTGACATGTACCTATGATGAAAATTACAGGCCTCTCTCATCTTTTTAAGTGGGAGAACTTGCACAATTGGTGGCTGACTAAATACTTTTTTTCCCCACTGTGTGTGGCTGTTATGAAAGTGAACTGTTTGCTTGTGATCAGGGGTGTATTTATTTAGCCGATTCTGATGAAAAACGTTTCTTAAACGGAAGCAAACGGAACGACACGGGATAAACATACTTTAATTTGTCCAATAGAAACTCTCATTTGCAACTTTTGGCCTAATGATTGCACCCTAGATCAGCTAGATGCAGGAAAGAGTGTGCAAGGCGATATTGAATGTGTCACCGTCTGTCACCTTGATTACTAAAAAGTATCTCGACCTGTGCACCTAAGCTGTAATCTTTCATTCGTAGACTAGGTTGCAGCAACCTCATGATGGGTATAGGGAACATTTTAGTATCATGTAGTAGCCTAAACCTATCGATGTTACATTGAGCTGGGTGAATGGAATATGATTGACAGTTATCCAATATGTTGTAATAGAAATAAGGCCATTCTCATAAAAAAAAAAGAAAAAAGAATCCTCCCTCATCTTAAACGGCACATATCGCCACTGATGTAGTAGGATTAGATCTAAGTCCTGTTTGATGGTTCGTTGTAGGGCCTAGCAGGATTTCTCATCAGCGTCCGGCTTAGTGTCCCGCTCTTGGAAAGCAGCAGCTCTAGCCTTTAGCCCAGTGCGGATGTTGCCTGTAATCCATAACTTCTGGTTTGGAGATAGCCTAGTGGTTAAGCCTGTTGGACCAGTAACTAAAAGGTTGCTGGCTTGAATCCCAGAGCCGACTAGGTGAAAAAATCTGTCTGTGCCCTTGAGCAAGGCACTTAACCTTAATTGCTCCTGTAAGTCACTCCGGATAAGAGAAGAGTGCTGAATGACTAAAATGTAAAATATGTATACGGTCACTATGGGGACGACTCAGATTGAATCCGGGAACATATTCCAGTCTGCGCTAGCGAAACAGTCCTGTAGCTTAGCATCCGCTTCGTCGGACCACTTCCGTATTGAGCGCGTCACTGGTACTTCCTGTTTGAGCTTGTAAGCAGGAATCAGGAGGATAGAGTTATGGTCAGATTTGCCAAATGGAGGGCGAGGAAGAGCTTTGTATGCCTCTCTATGTGTGGAGTAAAGGTGATCTAGAGTTTTTACGCCTTCTAGTTGCACAGGTGACATGCTATACAGCTCGTTGAGTGCTCTCTCAGTGCCAGCATCGGTTTGTGGTTGTAAATAGGACAGCTACGAAAAATATAGATGAAAACTCTGTTGGTAAGTAGTGTAGTCTACAGCTTATCATGATGTACTCTACCTCAGGTGAGCAAAACCTTGAGACTTCAGTGGTCCTCTGTAGCTCAATTGGTAGAGCATGGCGCTTGTAACGCCAGGGTAGTGGGTTTGATCCCCGGGACCACCCATAAGTAAAAATGTATGCGCACATGACTGTAAGTCGCTTTGGATAAAAGCGTCTGCTAAATGGCATATTATTATTATTATTACTTCCTTAATATTAGAGATTGCGCACCAGCTGTTATTGACAAATAGACACAGACCACCACCCCTTGTCTTACCGGAAGTAGCTGTTCTGTCTTGCCGATGCACAGAAAACCCAGACAACTCTATATTATCCATGTATTCATTCAGCCACAACTCTGTGAAATAAGATATTAACATTTTAATGTCCCGTTGGTAGGATAGTCTCGAACGGAGCTCATCCAGTTCATTCTCCAATGATTGCACGTTGGCCAATAGGACGGATGGTAGAGGCGGGTTACCCACTCGCCGACAAATTCTCACAAGGATCTGCGGCCCCCTATATCGGCATCTCCTCTTCATGCGAATGACGGGGATTTGGGCCTGGTCCCGGAGCAGCAGTAAATATTTCGCGTCCGATTCATTGAAGAAAAAATCATCCAGTTCGAGGTGAGTAATCACTGTCCTGATATCCAGAAGCTCTTTTCGGTCATAAGAGACGGTGGCAGAAACATTATGTACAAAATAAGTTACAAACAATGCGCAAAAACACACAAAATAGCACAATTGGATGGGGGCCCGTAAAGCGGCAGCCATTTCCTCCGGGGTCATTCTCACAAGTAAATGCTCTTTTGATCCTTGGTATGACCTTCTTAAAACAATTCCATATGTTAGCTTGGTAGAAAGCCAGCCCCGGGCCCTTAGACCTTAGGTAGTTTAATGCAGGCTACCCCTATCAACCTAACAATTGTGCCCAGAGAGCATTTTCCAAAAACATAAAGCAAACTATAGTATCATATGTTTGACTATTAGCCCCTTTTCAACTAGGTGAACAGATACGGTTTGAGTGGCACCTGCAATTATATAAAAACGTGTTTGTCCTACCAGGTGACTGCTCTGTGTGGGCGTGTCAGCTGTTTGATAGAGCCGGCGAACCTTTGTCGATCTCAGCAAGGCAAAGATGATTTCACCTGAAGGCACCAGCAAACCTTTCTCCGGCAGAGCAGATGGCAGAGGAGAGGGTTGTGGGGTTCTTCAACTGAAGCCACTGAAACAAGTGAGCGCTAATGATTTATTCAATTTGCACTCATTGCATGTACAGTTAAAACATATTCAAACTGGGCAAACATTTAGCCAATCTGGCCACACAACGTGTCTGGGATTATTTGATGCATTGAATTAACTTTAAAACTTTCATTTAGTCAACGAACTTCTAGAGAATATGACTAATATATGACGTACTGAATATTGACCATCCCTTATCACCAATTTATATTAGAGTGCATTAGACAAGCTCTTATTCCTACATGACTCACCAAGAGTAATTAAGGGTGGAGCCCAACAGTTCCATGTAGTAAAACATTGGCACAGACACTGGTCCAGGGGTGGACTGGCCATCTAGCATTTCGGGCAAATGCCAGAAGGGCTGGTCCATTTTTTGCCTAGTGGGCCTGTCTAACTCGTTTTTTTTTATTGGGGGGGGGGGGGCTTGCACAAAATGATCATTATCTGGCTAATAATGAGGGCCTCAAATTAAAAAATGTTTTGCCGGTGTTGGGGCCTCAAGGTGAAAAATTGGCTATTCTTTTAAAAATGGGTAAGTGCTAAACAGAGTCCTTGGGACATCGAACTCTGACGTCACTCCATTGAGGGTTGACATTTTAAACGGTTAAGGTACGGTTTAAGGTTAGAGATGTCCCAAGGGTCTCAGATAGCATCTGCCATTAGAAATGCCAGGGCCTATTTATGGTCCCAGTCCACTGGTCTATCAAACATGACATCAACAGTTCTGTTGAATTTCAAATATTTTTACAGGCCTTGAAAGACTGTGACCACGTATGGGGCATCATAAGCAACACTGGTTGTAAACCAAGATGGCCACACAGTCTCTCCAATCACCAAGCCCCATCCATGGTCCAGCAAGGAGATCTTCTGCGCTGAATCTATTCAGAGTCTGACCTGTCATCTGTCCAGTACATAGAGGCTCATGGGACTGGGACTCCAGTGGGGGATCCCATAGAAGCAGGCAACATCTCCCAAAGTCATTGCCAAAGCTAGACCTTGAGGTTCAGAGACACTCCGCATCGGCTCTGTGAAAGGCAACACTGGACACACTGAATCTGCAGCTGGAGTATTTGGTATTTTGGTATTTTATTAGGATCCCCATTAGCTGTTGCGAAGGCAGCAGCTACTCTTCCTGAGGTCCACACAAAACATGAAACACGACATAATACAGAACATGAATAAACAAGAACAGCTGAAGGACAGAACACTAATTTTTTACTATTTTTTACATTGTAGAATAATAGTGAAGACATCAAAACTATGAAATAACACATATGGAATCATGTAGTAACCAAAACAGTGTTAACCAAATCAAAATATATTTTATATTTGAGATTCTTCAAAAATGTATTCACAATCCCCTGACCTCAAGGAAAAGCAGCCAACAAGTGCTCAGCATATGTGGGAACTCCTTCAAGACTGTTGGAAAAGCATTCCAGGTGAAGCTGGTTGAGAGAATGCCAAAAGTGTGCAAAGCTGTCATCAAGGCAATGTGTTGCTATTTGAAGAATCTAAAATATAATGTAAAAATAAAGATAAACCATGAGTAGGTGTGTCCAAACCTTTGACTGGTAGTGTACATACATTTAAAAACAGCACACAGCCTTCATAACAATTCATACACAGAAAATATCTAGGTCAAATAGGGGAGAGGCGTTGTGCCGTGAAATGTTGCTTTATCTGTTTTTTGAAACTAGGTTTGCTGTTCATTTGAACAATATAAGATGGAAGGGAGTTCCATGCAATAATGTCTCTATATAACACTGTACGCTTTTCTTGAATTGACTATGACTTTGGGACTGTGAAAAGACCCCTGGTGGCATGTCTGGTGGGGTTAGTGTGTGTGTCAGAGCTGTGAAAAGACCCCTGGTGGCATGTCTGGTGGGGTTAGTGTGTGTGTCAGAGCTGTGTGTATGTTGACTATGCAAACAGTTTGGAATTTTCAGCACATTAATGTTTCTTATAAAAAGAAGAAGTGATGCAGTCAGTCTCTCCTCAACTCTTAGCCAAGAGAGACTGGTATGCATAATATTTATATTAGCCCTCTGATTACAATGAAGAGCAAGACGTGTCGCTCTGTTCTGGGCCAGCTGCAGCTTAACTAGGTCTTTCTTTGTAGCACTTGATCACATTGCTGGACAATAATCAAGAATAGACTAAACTAGAGCCTGTAGGACTTGCTTTGCGGAGTGTGATGTCAAAAAAGCAGAGTATCTCTTTCTTACGGTCAGACCTAATCAAGGGACTCGTAATGATGAAGCATGAAACCATTGTCCCTTCACTGTTCTCTTCTGAGGACAGTGCCAGTATCGACGCAAAAGCCTTAAATGTAAAAGTTCCTACTAAAGCAGAAAAGTGGAGAAATGCAGGCTCTGTTGAACGAGTTGCAGGGATCAATAATTCTTGTTTTGGAGGCATAAATGCCCACACCATTGTCAAACAGTACAACAAGTCTCATACCAAAACAGCTAGGGTTGATCGGTCATATGGGTATTTTGTCCTCTCAGCAGCCTCAGAAAAATCCCTTAGCATGATGGTACAGGACACAGCTGAACAGATAAGTGCAGACAAAACAGTGGGACTCCAGAGTTTGTCGTATACGTCAACCTGTAGAAGAAGCCACTTGAAACATAAATACAGGAAGCCATTCACAACATCATCACTGGTTGATCTGAGAAACCAGCTAAAATCTGCTTTGAACAGAAAGATTGTCCCCTCCAAGCTAAATCCGAGGTTAGTGTTTGTTTTCTGTGGGAATGGTGTGGCATACCAGGGCATGTGCAAGCACCTGCTAAAACAGGAACCAGTGCTTCAGAGAAAAGATCAAAGGAGGTTGAGGCACTTTTCCAAAGCTACCAAAGAATGTCCATCACAGACAAACTGGAAAGTGTATCAAATGATGATGACTTTTCAAAACCAGATGTTGTCCAACCCCTCCTCTTTGCCATTCAGATTGGCATAGCCAGTCTCTTCAAGCACTGGGGCATCAAACCTGACTCCATTATTTGCCACTCTCTAGGAGAGGTTGCTGCTGCCCACTGCTCTGGTCTCTTGTCCCTTGAGGATGCAGAGAAGGTGATCTACTTCCGCAGTACTCTGCAGAATAAGGAGGGTAAATGCTTGTGGTCAGTAACATGGCTGTATCAGAGGTCTTGAACCTCCTTCCCTCCTACCCAAATAAGATTTCCATGGCTGCCTTCAACAGCCCACAGTCCTGCACCCTCTCAGGGGATGCAGAGGCTATAGACAGTCTCCATCAAAAGCTGAGCAGCTCAATCAAGAGTAAGAATCTGTTCTTCCGTGTTACATTTACATTTACATTTACATCATTTAGCAGACGCTCTTATCAAGAGCGACTTACAAATTGGTGCATTCACCTTATGATAGCCAGTGGGACAACCACTTTACAATGTTTTTTTTTATATATATATATAATTTCTAAAAAAAAACATATTTTATATTTCTAGAGTATATTTTCAATTTTCATGTTTTATATATTTATTTATTTATTTTGTATCTTAAATTTGTATTTAATTTAATTTGTATTTATTTTTGGGGGGTGGCGTGGGCGGGGGTTAGATATTATTATTATTATTATTATTATTATTTTAGATATTTTTTTTTGGGGGGGGGGGGGGGGGGGGGGGGGGGGGGGGGGTAGAAGGATTACTTTTATCCTATCCCAGGTATTCCTTAAAGAGGTGGGGTTTCAAGTGTCTCCGGAAGGTGGTCAGTGACTCCGCTGTCCTGGCGTCGTGGGGGAGCTTGTTCCACCATTGGGGTGCCAGAGCAGCGAACAGTTTTGACTGGGCTGAGCGGGAACTATGCTTCCGCAGAGGTGTTCTGGATGTCCCAGCTGCATACCACAGCCAGATGATGGATCCCATCATGTCTCAACTAGAGAACAGTATTGGCTCTATACAGGTTACTGATATTGAGACGGAATTGTTCTCCACAGTGACAGGAAAGGAGGTAGAGCAGCCAGACTTCAGCACAGGCAAATACTGGGCCAGGAACATACGAGAGGAAGTGAGATCAGCAGCCAAAGAGAAGAAGAATGTGGTCGTTGTGGAGATTGGCGTATCTGTCCATAGGACCACTTTAAGCCGTACACTTCACAGAGCTGGGCTTTACGGAAGAGTGGCCAGAAAAAAGCCATTGCTTAAAGACAAAAATAAGCAAACACGTTTGGTGTTCGCCAAAAAGCATGTGGGAGACTTCCCAAACATATGAAAGAAGGTACTCTGGTCAGATGAGACTAAAATTGAGCTTTTTGGCCATCAAGGAAAACACTATGTCTGGCGCAAACCCAACACCTCTCGTAACCCCGAGAACACCATCCCCACAGTGAAGTATGGTGGTGGCAGCATCATGCTGTGGGGTGAATAGTTATGCACGCTCAAGTTTTCAGTTTTTTTGTCTTATTTCTTGTTTGTTTCACATTAAAAATATTTTGCATCTTCAAAGTGGTAGGCATGTTGTGTAAATGAAATGATACAAACCCCCAAAAATCAATTTTAATTCCAGGTTGTAAGGTAACAAAATAGGACAAATGCCAAGGGGGGGTGAATACTTTCGCAAGCCACTGTAGGTCAATTAAGCGCACAAGTAGCTTTAATTCATAGCCAAACATAATTGGGAAAATTCAGGTTGAAGAATTTATAGAAGACACGACTGATAAAACCTGATGAATCTTTGCACTTTGTAACAACTAATGCCCAGAAGATGGCGCACTTTAATCAATAAAAAGACTGATGAAACGTGGATGGAGTACTGTGAAGCCTCTAATTCCTGTAGTTCAGTTGGTAGAACATGGCGCTTGCAATGCCAGGGTTGTGGGTTCGATTCCCACGGAGGGGCCAGTATGAAAAATGTATGCACTCACTAACTGTAAGTCGCTTTGGATAAGAGCGTCTGCTAAATTACTAAAATGTAAAAATGTAATGCCCAGAGGATGGAGTACTGTGAAGCCACTAATTCCCAGTGGATGGAGTAATGTGAAGCCACTAATACCCAGAGGATGGAGTACTGTGAAGCCACTAATACCCAGTGGATGGAGTAATGTGAAGCCACTAATGCCCAGTGGATGGAGTACTGTGAAGCCACTAATGCCCAGTGGATGGAGTACTGTGAAGCCACTAATACCCAGTGGATGGAGTAATGTGAAGCCACTAATGCCCAGTGGATGGAGTACTGTGAAGCCACTAATGCCCAGTGGATGGAGTAATGTGAAGCCACTAATGCCCAGTGGATGGAGAACTGTGAAGCCACTAATTCCCAGTGGATGGAGTAATGTGAAGCCACTAATGCCCAGTGGATGGAGTACTGTGAAGCCACTAATTCCCAGTGGATGGAGTAATGTGAAGCCACTAATACCCAGTGGATGGAGTACTGTGAAGCCACTAATGCCTAGGGATGGAGTAATGTGAAGCCACTAATGCCCAGTGGATGGAGTACTGTGAAGCCACTAATACCCAGTGGATGGAGTACTGTGTGGCCACTAATGCCCAGAGGATGGAGCACTGTGAAGCCACTAATTCCCAGTGGATGGAGTACTGTGAAGCCACTAATGCCCAGAGGATGGAGTAATGTGAAGCCACTAATGCCCAGTGGATGGAGAACTGTGAAGCCACTAATTCCCAGTGGATGGAGTAATGTGAAGCCACTAATACCCAGTGGATGGAGTACTGTGAAGCCACTAATACCCAGTGGATGGAGTACTGTGAAGCCACTAATGCCCAGAGGATGGAGTACTGTGAAGCCACTAATGCCCAGAGGATGGAGTACTGTGAAGCCACTAATGCCCAGAGGATGGAGTACTGTGAAGCCACTAATACCCAGTGGATGGAGTACTGTGAAGCCACTAATGCCCAGAG